TGCCTGTAGCTGGACTCATCATTGTTTGTGATGCATCCCACCACCGCTGTATCATCTTCAAACTTTACAATGTGACAGCCTGGATGGGTAGCTGCACAATCATACGTGAGCAGAGTAAACAGGAGAGGGCTCAACACACATCCCTGAGGAGAGCCAGTGCTGAGGGTTATGGTGGAAGAGGAGAAGTTGTGGATCCTCACAGACTGAGGTCTGTTTGTTAAGAAGTCTAGTACCCAGTTGCAAATGGAGGGGCTTAGTCGTAGTGTGAATAGTTTGTCCATCAGGGTTTGGGGGATCATGGTGTTGAAGGCAGATGTGAAGTCCACAAAGAGAGTACAGACGTAAGAGTTTTTCTGCTCCAGGTGGTTGAGCGCAGTGTGGACCACAGAGGAGATGGCATCCTCTGTTGATCGGTTCTCATGGTATGCATACTGATGAGGGTCCTCGTTGATGTTGTTGGTTGTTTTGATGTGAGTCATGACCAGTTTTTCAAAGCATTTAGCGACTATCGGGGTGAGGGCCACTGGCCGATAGTCATTCAGACCAGTCACTGTAGAGCTTTTTGGGACTGGGATGATGGTGGCAGTCTTCAGGCAGGTGGGAACTGTCTCCAGGGTAAGTGAGGTGTTAAAGATGTCTGCCAGCACCTCGCAGAGCTGATCGGCACATTCTTTCAACACCATAAATAATAATAATAATAATTCACCATAAATAATAAAAAAAATAATGCAATATTGATATAACTACATAACAGCCAGCAGTGTAAGCTTCATGAACTATGTGAAGTTGGAGTTTTTGGGATGTTTGCATTTCTTTTAGTGATATTTTCTATTTTTAATGCACGGACCTGTGGCTGACAGCAGTACAGATTGACCCATTTCTCCTAGCATGAAGGTCTGTAAGCTGTGGCTCTGGGGCCTCATGCTCATTAGAGCCTCTGAATTGGCTCCAGGCCCGGAGTGGCCAATCGGGAGGGTCTGGAGAATTCCTGGTGGGCCGGTCTGATTTGTGGGCTGCAGGACCGGCCCTCCCTGTTTTTTTTTTAGAACTTCTTATTAACAACATATAAACACAGAACATGCTGCCGCTGCTCCTGGGCCGCCCCACCTCCACTGCAGGGCTGCAGCTCGTTTTTTTTTCTTTTATCCACAAGTTGGCTCCACTGCGCGACCTGTCAATCATTTCAGTAGGCATGTCAGCGAATGATCAATTGGTAACCTCAATCTGTCTTGAAGGTAAACGCCTGTTACCTGCAGATATGGGGCTGCCTGCAGCCAGGACGCTTTACAGTCAGAGGGGTTTGTGAAAAATCACCAGAACAAAATGGTTAAACAGTGTCAGTGGAGAACAGGTAATCCAGACACATGTTACCCTGAGAGTTTCGAGGGTGGGATACAGTTTATTATTTTTCAAAAATTAAACAGAGTTTGGAAAATATGTAGAAAGCTGGGGACCGACCCCATCAGCTGATCACAAGTTATAAACGGGAAGTAGCTCCCACATGTTCAACTCTACAAAAGTAACTGCAGGTAAATGTGGGGGAGTGGTGGCGCAGAGGTTAGAAGATGGGCTTGTGATCGGAAAGTTGCAGGTTCACCTCCCGGTACCGTCAACATCAAAATGTGGGCAGGAAAAGGTGAAACATCCACACCTGCCTCCACCCTCATTCGCCCCACTCTGGGCCCTTGAGCAAGGCCCTTAACCCCCACCATCTGTTCCCTAAAAAGGTCTCTCTTGAAAATGAGTTCTCGTGACTCAATGAGACTACCTGTATAAATAAAGGGTAAATGAAAAAAAAATCCTCCATTTTCTGTCATAATGACATTGTTTGCTTAATGATTAAATTAAAGGTTAATGCTTTATTCAGGTTATGTTTATTTGTCATATGCAGGTTAACACAAGGTTAACAGTACAATAAAATATTCAGGATGAGAAGAACTGATTAGACTCACTAAAACAATGAACAAACAAACAAGAAATACTAAAACATTCAATAATGGTACAAAATAAAGTACCAAAAAGTGAAAAAGTAAATACAATATTTACAAGGTTCTAAAGAATAAATAGTAAACAACAACATGGTAGAATATAACAGTGAAAGTAGAATGAATTTGTATGAGTAAGTATTTTGAGGTAGTAATATAAGCTGAAATTCACATGATGTATACTGCAAATAGCTAACATAAACAGGTTGTGTGACAGATTATTGCACAGGTAGTGAGTAACATGGAGATGAATTATGATGGTAAGGTACATACATGATACAGCCACATAATGCATTAGCAATAAAAATATTAGGTGCCACAAGTTAATATTAGTCATATTAGTTGTCACAGATGTGGCTTGGTGCAAATTTATTGCCAGTTGTTCAGTGTTATTTATTGAGAGTTCAGTAATCTGACAGTTTATGGACAATAACTGTCTTTGAGTCTTTTCATGCATGATGATAGACTCTTGTATCATCTACCTGAGAGTAGTAGATGGAAGAGTCCTTGTGCTGGGTGGGTGTGGTCCTTAATGATGCTGCTTTACGCAGACATCAGCTGTGGTAGATGTCCTGGATGGTGTGGAGACTGCTACCACTGATGTCCTCTGCTGTTTGCACCACCCTCTAGAGCTTTCCGGCTCTGATTTGTGCAGTTCATGCACCACCTTGTGACGCAGCCTGTCAGCAGGCTCTCCATGGTGCACTTGTAAAAGTTAGTGAGGATGCTGGTGTTTGTACCAAACTTTACATTTCCTCGTAGGCGAAGCAATCTTACTGTTCATGTAAAATATTTGATAATGTTCTTATAGAAACAATTCCTGAATGTTGTTCATACTGTGTTAATGCTACATGTTTGTCTCTGGACTCTACTTCTGGTGCTGAAATTATAGGACTTTGTGCCCTTTGAGTGTTTTCATAAACTGGTATGTTCACACAGACCACTTGTATTACTAATGTAATTGTCATTGCTCTGCAGAAATTTTATGCATAAATTACACAACATTTGGACAGAAAACAGATTAAAGTATTGCTCCTTTTCACTTTTTATAAATAATTAGTCAAGTTCACATTTTTAAAGTCAAAGTTCCACAGAGCCACTCAGGGCTGGAGTGGGACTCATTTTCAGCCCTGGAGTTTCAGCCTCAGAGTGGCCCACTTTAGATCATGACCAGTTATTATTAAAATCATGCAATTGCAAGTTTACATCAGGGGCGATTCTAGAATCTGCCCTTTAGGGGCGCTTTTATCCCCCAGTGCTGACAATGGCTCTTGGCTTGAACAATGTGGTGAACATTGGCATCAGAAGCTTTTATAATGTGATGGGGAGAAGCACACTGGTGGGGGGTCTGGTGGTCCTCCCCCCAGAAAATTTTGAATAAAGTAGATCCATTTCCTGCATTCTGGTGTATTTTAACAGGCTGTTTAACATTTAGTTTTGCCTACATAAGTAACACTTGATTCAATAACTATTATAGAGTTAATGGCACAATAAGAAGTACCCTGACCAACAGCTCTCCTTGTGTGAATAGAGCATGCTCCACTTCTCTCATGCATCCTAGCCAGAATTAGTGGAATGTCTCAAGTTTTCACTAAAATGTGTTTAAAATTTAGTTATCAGTTTAAAATGTTGAGGCTAGCTTGTTATTTATTTTATTTATGCAATGTTCTGACATACACCACAGTTATGGGGCATAGATGGTGTAGGGGCAGGGTAACCAACTCGGGACCCGAAGGTCCTGGTTTCGATCCCCGGTCATTGCACGTCTGGTGGTGTCTCTGAGCAGGACATATAATCCCAAATTGCTCCCTGGGCAGTTTACATAGCCTACATTAGTTGCAGGTCAGTTGCGTGAACATCTACAAAGAAATAATCTGTTT